CCCCTTTTCGCACTTCCAGGCCCACATCCCACTCCGATCAGGAAGTCGCGCTGGGCGTGAGGTTGGTATCGGAGCCCGACATGTGGCTAGGGCCTTAGGATTGATAGCACGTTAATTAGGCGACCTGGCTAACCGTGGGCGACCTCGCCCTTGGAACGCGCCTAGACGCGACCCTATCGTCACCAGAAGCAGATCGGCTAACCGACGAGCAGCCAATATGGCTGCCAACGTGCAAAATCCGGTTCCGTAACAAAATGCTAATCCACCTAATCAACCTGCCCCACATGCACGAGCTCCCATGTCGCCACCAGATCTCTATCAATTTGATCCGGCGCACCATCTCGCAGAAGCATGGTTGGCCACGCTTAGAGCACAACAGTACGATGATCACGAAGCACAGATCAACATTCCGGCTCGAATGGGAGGAGACAGACGCTCATCATTGGTATAGTACCTATGTATGGGTGGATCTCCCGACCTTCGAACGGGATTTCATGAACCGATTTGACTATGTTCACCCTGAGCAAGCGCTATACATGATCAAGGACCGAGTGCAAAAACCTCTCGAATCCGTTGCAGAATATCGAAACCGGTTCTACAGAATGTTCGTGAAGACTGAGCGAGGTGAGCAAGTAGGGAGAGATCTGTTCATTGACGGACTCCGCAGCCGAACAATAAGGGCTAAGTTGTGAAAGCAATTTTCCCCCATCACTCATACGCTACAACAAATTATGGCTGCTGCGGAAGAAATGGAACGAAAGTTCGCGGCGAACTTCCTGGAAGGAGAAGACTATCCTAGAGACGGAGATTCGACCGAGCTCGCTCGAGCGAGAGCGGAGCTGGCTGCTTTGCAGAACAAATTTGAAAACATGGGATTTGTATCTGGACCTGTCACCTATATGGAACAGATAGGCCCCAAATGAGTAATCCTAAGTGAGACTCCGAGCATCTCTACTCCTATGATGCCCCCGTCCGTCAGGACATTACCCCCGCCGCCGGTAGAGGCTCATGTACGATCAAACGAATCGGCGGTCATTTTCGAATTCACCAAAACTTTGATTAGTTTGATCCAAGAAAGAAAAAAGGAACAGCGAGAGCACAATGCTCGGCTGGAAGCCATGATGATTAACATGCGACCTATTGCGGTGCGTGCCTCTCCGATGCAACAAGGATTAGCCCCTGCCCCTACTCTCGGAGGAGCTGCGAACAATCTGAATGTTTGCTACGCCTGTCATCAGCCCGGACATCTAGCCCGTGATTGCCCCCACCGACCCCCACAACAGCGGATCGGAATCGCACCTATGGCTGCGGCCCCCATCGCGAACGGACCTGGACGAGTCGGAGCCTTGATGGAAGAAGTAGAGGGTGGGGGAAGTTCCCTGGCCACCACGGAAGAGGCCGCCGAGCTAATTCCGCTAGATCAGTATGTGTCGCTGGGATATCCTGGGCTAGGAATGATCGGAACAATCAGACCAGCGCCAAAACCAAAAGAGGTGGCGGAGTGGCGACCGTCCCTAGGAGAAATTGAGTCGGGAGGACCCACCTTCGTCACAGGAGAAATCGATGTATTAAACATCACCCAAGCTTTAAACCATCGGATTCCCCTTCCGATCGGTCATCTACTCTCGATCTCCGAGCAAGCCAACGAGCGAATGTTACAGCACTGTAAAGCGAATCGAAAACGATTCGCTCTCGCCCGAGCACCGAACGTAAAAGCCAAAGGCCCCACGTCGGAAGAAAACCCAACAAGCACTCCGGATCCGATACGGATAGGATTAATTCAGAAAGACGATCATTTCCTATGGATTAAACTCATTCCGTGGAAATCCGCAGAGTGCGATATAGAAATTTTGGGAATTCCTTACAACGCAATTATAGACTCGGGAGCAGCTGTGTTGGCTATTTCACTGAGAGTGGTCGAAAGGGCAGGCAGGAAAAATGATCTGATCATGCTCACCGAGAAAGATCAGCTCGTTTCGGCAGATGAGAAAAAGATTAAAACTGTGGGGAGAATGGCCAACGTCGCCTTCCGATTAGGAAAAGTATAAGCACTTGGGGATGTCGTAGTACTAGATGTTAATACGTACGACGTTTTTTTCGGACTTCCCGCCCTTGTGACGTTACAGGGACCAGTCGAAAATACAGGGGAAAAACCCTACGCTGTGCCCATGCGATTGACCCTTCGCACTACTATTAACGCGGTTCCGAGGGTTTCGCCAATGATGGCAGGGACTCTCCGCATGATTTCCTGGGACGAACCCGCAGAAGGAAAGTCGTCAACTGAAGATGCGGAAAGCAGTGACGAGGATGATCCGAAGATCTTGAAATTGGCACGACAACGTGTTTGTTACCCACCGCCCAAAACGATAGCGAGAACGATGCAACTGACCAGCCGAAAAATTCAAAGGACCAAGGCGATGATCTTGGGAGAGCCCCTCGTGCAGATTTCGAGGATGGTCGACTTTTTGGAACCCCCTCAAACTTTGTACGAAGGGATCACCCCTCTCCTCGCCAGGTACAGCGACAAAAAGCATTTTTGCGACATTACGGAACTACCTAAGACTTTACTAACATCGGCTAAAGAAGTGAGATTGTTGCGTTTGGGGGCGGAAGCAAGCTCTCTGGAACCACCTGGGCGTTTCGAAGCAGAAACAGACGGACTGGGGATAAAGATCGCAACTAAGGAAGTGTCGTGGCAGGATGTTTGTGACGGGATTACCCCGGAAGGACACGTGGCAATCCGAGAAGAAGATGCTCAGATGATGGTCACGGTGTTCTCCTGGCGATCGGATCATTCATTCATCTCGGCGCCTCCACCCGATTTGACAAAACAGGCGAACACGAAACAGATTGACGTTTGGATCTGGGACCAAATTTTCGAACTGCACGTTCCACAATATGTGTTGGATGAAATCCACCGGGTAATTGTGGATATTCTAACGGAATACCAAGGAGCAATTAGTGTGTCAGACACTGACGTAGGGTTGTCGTTAGTAATCCAACATGAAATTCAGACAGGAAATCACTCCTCAATTCATTGCAAACCTTATCGCTATTCCTTGATTGAACGCAAAAAGGCTCTCGAACGAATTCGGGAGTTCGAAGCCAGTGGTTGGATTGAACCCGCTACCGGACCTTGGTCCTTTCCCGTAGTATTAGTGCCTAAGAAAAACGGAGCGATTCACATTTGCATTGATTATCGCAAGCTGAATGAGATCACGATCAAAGATGTGTACCCCCTCCCCCGGATTGATGATTTGCTGGATGCGATTGGATGTGCTAACTACTTTAGCAAGTTTGATATTCGGCATGGTTTCCATCATATTCTGGTTAAGGAGGAAGATCGGCCAAAAATGGCCTTTGTGTTGTTTGAGGGCACGTGGCAATGGGTTCGATGTCCGATGGGGATTTGCAATGCGCCTGCCACGTTTCAGCAAGCGATGAACATGACGTTCCAGACCTTCGTCAACAAGACACGGCTAACGCAAGGAATGATTAACTTCTGCGTGATCGTGTACATGGACGACATCCTGGTCTATTCGAAAACCTATCATGGAGACGCGCAACATATTGAATGGACATTGGGCGCACTGAGAGATGCTGGGTTCAAGATTGCGCTCGAGAAAAGCGAATTTTTCCTCTCGGAAATTTCGTTCTTGGGCTACGTCGTGACACGTGGAGGATTGCGGCCGGACTCGAGAAAGTTGCGGCGGTGAAGGAAGCGCCTTCTTGGGACTGGCGTCGTACTACCGGCGCTTCATCAAGGGCTTTGCCGCGATTGCACGACCGCTAACGAACCTGTTACGGAAGGACCAACCTCTCAGTTGGGACGCGGAGTGTCAGCAGGCCTTTGCAACCCTCAAAGACGCTCTGGCAACAACCCCTATTTTGATTCGGTCGGAGCCCTCGAAGCAGTTCATTCTCATCACGGACTGGCAACCGGAAGCCATTTCCGCTATTTTAGCACAGAAGGGGAACGATGGTCGCGAACACGTCATCGAGTACGCGTCTCGAACCGTACCGGACGAACGAAGAAACGACTCCGCACCTCAAGGCGAGTGTTATGCGGTAGTTTTGGGAATCCAACACTTCCATCCGTATCTCTACGGACAGAAGTTTCGCCTCGTAACGGATCACAAGCCTCTGCTGGCGCTGCAGAAACTCACCAACTACACGGGCATGATTGGCCGTTGGGCGGTGTGACTACAAGAATACGACTTCGATATCGTCCATCGAAAGACAGAACGACACGGCAACGCGGACGGGCTGACACGTTTGCATCGACCTACCAAGGTACCAAAAGGCGAGGAAATTACACCGTGGAAAGAGCCGGACTTGACTAACAAGCCGAAATACGGACAAGTGGCAATTCTCCCACGTGGCAAGAAGCAAAACGGTGGCGATGGGTGACGAAGGTAACCCCACTACCCCTCTCTCCCCCCCTTCCTCTTCGTCTCTCCTCTCCCTGCCTAACAAATTTTGCTATTTTTGCGAAGCCATCTCCCGCGTATACTCGGTCTCCACGTGTTCTAAAGGGGAGGGGTATGTCGATTGGATAGATTGTCGACAGTGTGTCGCACGAGCCCATGGCTCGTGCATCCAATACAGAAACGATAGTAAACCGTGGTTGTGCCCCTTGTGCCGGACCAACAAAATTCCGACCGAGGCTCGATTTTTGGATGCCACGTCAGAAGGATTGGAAAAGACCCGAAAGTTTAGAAGGGCCGAAGTATGGACGAATATTGCCTTAATTGCCACCCTAGTAGGTAACCCCCTCCAGGATTTCACCAAGGGAGATCGGAGGAGGGCCAACGAAAGGGCTCGGGATTATCGATGGATAGAGGGTAGGCTAGAAAAACTGAAAACGAACGGCAGTGGGATTTGGATGGTAGTGCCGCATCCGTTCATGCGGTACGACTGGGTTAAGACAGCCCACGAGGAAACTGCGGCCCATTTTGCCGTACGAATCACGGAGTCCGCTATCGACAAAAATGAGTGGTATTGGTTCAATATCCACGACGATGTGAAATACATTGTCGCCAACTGTCAAGTCTGCGCCGCTGATAAGGCGCCGATTCAGCCGCCAAGATCGATAATGCCCACGAACGGCCATTTCAAAGAGTGAGCATGGACACTACCGACATAGTGGTGCCCCCTGGCCCTAATGGCTGCGAATATTCAATCCTATTGGTATTTGTCGACCATTTCTCGAAATGGATCGAAGCGTATCCCTGTCGCACGCGGCAAGCCACGGAAATCGCGCGATATGTCAACCGTTTCCTCGGGATGCATCAGGATACGGAAGAGATCCTGACTGACAACGGGGCTCAATTCAGAGGAGAAGTGTTAAAGAGTCTGGTCATACATGGCGTCGCCATACAGAACACCGCACCCCACATGTCACAATCCAATGGGCTGGTCGAAAACGCCAACCGGGTGATAAAGGCCGCATTGCGACGAAATATCACGGCACGGGATCCGAGGCCTGGCCCAACATCATCGATCACATCCTGGCGGTCCATCGCGGAACGCCTCACGAATCGACGGGGCTAAGCCCCTTCCAATTAAGGACCAATAGCGTCGCTTGCGTTTCAATACCAAGCCTCCCGGACGAGTCTACATTTAACTGACGGCCCACCAAGGCCACGACTAGGGACAAGGCCAAACGACACCTAGAGCTAATGGAACGGTCAGTGCCCAGGCTAGCCCGAAAACAACAAAAAATGACCGAACTAGCCCAAGGCCGGCAGGTCCGGAGCTACGAGGCCCGAAATGGGAATGCGGGTCCGCGGCCCCAGTACAAATTGGGGGACGTGGTGCAGGTGAGGAAATGTGCTCGCCAGGGTAAGCTAGCGCCACGATTCTTCGGGCGATATCGCGTGATCGAGCTCGGCCCCAACGATGTGAACACCGTGCATCTCGCCCCTGAAGTCTCTGGCAGCCGATCGGCCCGCCCGATCACACGCCACGTGTCCTATCTTCGCCTCCTCCCCTCCGCTCCATCTCCTTCTCCCTCCATCTCTCCTTCTGAGGAAGCCGAAAACGACGGTTCTGATTCTCCGCCGTTTCCCTCTTCCTCTTGCTCCCCATCACCATCGCCATCGCCATGAGTTTTCTGGAGGAAAGAGCTCTCAGCGAAGCATCGCTTGCACCCCGCGATCGATTGACGATCTGACAAGTCTATCATCCCCGCCTCAGTCCAGACCTTCAGCGGCTTGCGCACTCTTTCTGCACAGAAGGCGTGTATGCAGCGGCGGTGTTCAGAATCGAAGGTCGGCCTAATGCAGTAGTACTGGCCGAGGGAGTAGCAATTCATCAGCGAGCGGTGGCAGGTGTCAGCCGCATATCGGTCGTCATCAACTTCAGTGGCGATCTCTCCACGCTCCTCCCTTTACGACATTCGGCGGTGAGGACATCACAGCGCGCGTGGGCAAACGATCTGGTCGCCGAGTGGACCCAGCTTCTGGCTCGCCCCGCGGACACGGTCGCGCCGACACGAGCGATCGAATAAGACGGCCTTCTGATGTACCAGCGTGATCCACCGGCGGTTCTCCCTGTTGTTGTTCCCTTCCCTCGCCCCCAATGAGTCTCTCTCCGATCTCCGTTTTTTATCTTCCCTCCACCTTTCCCACCTTCTGGCAGTCCGATATCCATCCTCGCCTTTCCTACTGTCTAACGACCCTTGCGGTCCCTGACATTCATGCCCCACATTGGGACCTGTGGCGCGAAGACTTCGTCGAGCTTTCACTATGCTTGGTTGAGATACGGCTGACGTGGACCGAGGACGAAGCGCGCCCGCCTTGCATAGAACGCCTGGAGTTGCTGTTCATCCAGGCTTGGCGAACCAACGTGGAGGGAGAACTCCTCGCGTTTTTGTTCGGTACAGTGAGGCCCGGACATCAGGAACTCATCGCACAAGAACTCACGATCCTGGTAGCGCAGCTGGCGGACGATCTCCCTCTCGACATCATCTCGCAGGACGACGAGCACCCTATTCCTCACGTGCTTTCTCGCACGTTGATGCGGTATCTCCAGTGGTTGGCTTGTGTGGAGGGAGCCGCAGAGCGCATCCCGCCGTCGCAACAGCAGTATTTGGATCCCCGGACGGTTTGCGATCCTGCCTTCTTCAGGCATCCAACGGCAGAGCAGCTTGCTGCCATTCGAGAGGAGGAAGAGGAGGAAGAAAGCACTGAGAGTGACGAAGGAGAAGACGAGCGGGAAGAAAGTGGGGAAAGCGACGAAGTACTCAGGGAAGAGGACGAAACCCCCAAAGAAGGAAGCTATAGCGAGCATAGCGAGGGGGAGCAGAGCGAAGAAGAAGAAGAAGAAGACGAAGGAGAAGAGGAGAACGAAGAAGGACCTGCGGAATCGGAGTGGGAAGCAGTGCCGGAAGAAGCGCTGCGCACGGGCACGGAGGCTGAAGATCCGGAGGCGGCCCGCAAAAGGGAAGAAACCGCGGTCGGGAAGAGGAAGCTAGAGTTTGCGAGCGGGGCAAGCTTGCACGTCTACGACGACCCAAACCGAGATCCGGAGCCGCCCCGACCAGAATATGGCGCCCTCACGGCCACGACTCCGACCCCATCAACGTGGCACGGAGCCGATCCCCCTCCTCCCCAACCCGTCCCCCAGTTCGCAGACGTACCGATACGGGTGATCGGCCTTCGTCCCCGATTACTCTCTCGCCGGCCTCTTGACTACCTCACCCTCCGCCAGCTCACCACCTCTATCGCGTTCCCCTCCAACCCGTTTCCCCGCGATACCTTCCGTCACTTCTACGCTGCTCGCCTCGCTATAGTGGTGCATCCCCACCCCTCCATTCGATGCGCCGTCCCAACCTTCTGCCTCCATGTTTTGCTCCTTAGTGCCGCGTGGCGAGACCACAATATGATCGAGGTTTATTGCATAGTAATGGGGACCGTCCCCGCCTGCAAGAATCGCGATCTTTTCCGCGCGGCACTTTTTCGAACTCTCATCATCCTCTATCCTGATTACCTCGCGTCCCTCCCTCGCACTGGCAACCGCTTCCCCCGCTTCCACCGGATCGTCCGCTACCAAGCGCTTCCAGAATCAGCAGCCGGGATGGAAAGGTTCCTGCCCCCGCGACCCATAAGCCCTCCACCCCGCCATGCCGCCATGCACCGGCTCCCTTTTCCCCTTCCAATTAATTACTGATGCAACCGGTAATCGATGCGTGTCGCGGCGACGACACGAGAAAGATCCCCTCCTTGGATCGTCGAAGAGCCCACTTTGAGGAACTAGTAGAAGAGCAGAACTGCCACGTTGGATGACGTCCGCACGCAATCGAACGGTAAGTGGCATAAAGTGAAGTGCTCCGCGTGTCGATCGATTAGTGAAATCGACACGTGTCAACAAGCAAGCAGGAGCTTGCTAATATTGGAACCCCCTGGGCGTCACATATGTGACAAACCACCTTCTGTAACGCGCGAGTTTCTACGCGGTTGCAACGAGGGGTCCTAAGCTGGGAAGATTGGGCCAATTACGGGAAATCGGGATCGGTGGAAAATTGCATCAGTACCCTTGCTTCTTCGTCTTTTTCGTCGCTTCTTCGGGGCTGGGTGTGTCCTGGGACGACCGGTAGACTGGTTGGTCGAATGGATGTCTAGCGCGCCACCGCACGCGCGATTAATAAATGTTGACGTCATTTCTTTTGGTTCGGTTTTTGATCTTTTGGGCGCGGACATCGCCCGGGAAACTACTTCGTTTTTTTTTTTGACTTTCCTCTTGAATCTTTTTCGAATTTTGTCGAGCCCCCAACGACTCTCGAAATTTTGGACTTTCCCTCTGGAATTTATGCTTTTTTTTTGCTTTTTCGCATTAGATAGGAATTTTGGAATTCAGTAATTAGGATTTTTTCTGCCGCGTGGTGTCTTTTGTCTACGCGCTTCTTCATGTGGCTGCAACGATACTTTGATTAGTGATCGCCCTTAATCGTGAGTGTAACTGTAATTTTGGGCGGGCGCAATTGTAACTGTATCTCTCTTCTTGCACTTCGTCTCTACTGCCCTCCCTCTCTTTCTTTTGCTGAAATTTTGTAAGTTGCGGCTTGCATGCTCGAATCGATGCATGGAGAAGGGTTACGTCCGCCACGCCGCGGCCGATCATGCAGAACGCAGGCGCTCCCTCTCTAATCTTCACTCTAAGTCCTGGTAATTCCGTGTTCTTCGCACATGCATGCACGCTATAAATTTCGGATGCGCGATTAGTCAGCTCTCTTAACCCGTTGTTGG